GAATGTTGTCGTACACAAAGTGAATACAAACAATGTTGCAAATATTGCAATGAGTACTAGCGAATGAACGCATTTCCTTCAGGTTTTTTTTTTTAAATTCGCACATGATTGTGATGACGCAATCGATATGACGTCTCGTGGGGGGGGGGGGGGGGGGGGGGGTAACGGGCCGGCCTACGTTATTTCATTTTGTGGCGGCTTGTTTTTGAGGCGTTATACCATGTCATAATGTGAACAAGGCTTTTATACTCCATACTCTGCGCTCCGGAGAGAAATCTCAGTGCGTCTGTCCGTCAACACGCGTGTCATTATATACCGCGGGTTTTTTGGCGTCGGTTCGGGGTTGGTTAATTAAAAATGGCTCTTATTGCATGTAGGTCTACAAACCCAATCAGATGGTCATGTTTATGTCTTCACGAAGGTTCCCCCCTTCTTATACATCTGGACCATGTGAAGCGTAGACTACACGGGTAGGGTTCGTCCTAGCCTGACCTTATCAAAGACAACATTGTATAAGGTATACCTGACTAAGATAATAATCATGCCCTTACCCGTGATGCTACGACCTTCTTCGAAAGTACACGTGCATGTTGCACCCACGACAATAACTGCGCCAATTGAAGTAGACTTTGATGTATGTGCTTTTGTAATGCAACATATTCATTTAGTTACTTGTGTCCTTTAGTGAAGTGCCCCTCGTACTTAAATATACATGTAGATACTCTTGTATACTCTTCATATTTCTTTTCAATCTCGAATAATTTTGTCATTGAATCAAATTTGTTTCAAAAAGAAGAATCATCAAATGCGGAAGCAAATGGATTGAATAAACTATACGATTACACACTCGTATAAGATCTTACAATTATTGTAGCGATGACATGTGAAATCATACAAAATATTGTTTTAAAAATCTTAATGTACAATAAATCATAATTAACAACAATGAAGAAAGAAAAAAAGAGCAATAACCATCCCAAAGATTAACCCATATGACTAATTTCTGATAATATACAAATATTTTCTATAAATAGAAATACATGTCTCATAATGAAGTAGAACATCTGATATTCTTTTCAAATTCTACATAATTTGTCATTATTTAGTTTAGGTCGCCGTGATCGAAGTGCCTGATTATTCCAACAGAATACGATTATACTGGAAAGGAAAACAAATTAAATAAAGGAAAGAAAAAAATCAACAACAGAAACTAGAAATTGAAAGAGGTAACAGTTGTAAGTTGTAAAAGTATAGTTTGGAAAATTGAGTGAAATGCAATTTTACCATAATATCATCCCCACGTAAATGTTCATCTCTCTGTTGAGATAGTGTTTTATGTAATCTTCACTGGACAAGTCAGTTCTTCATTATTTAAAAAGCAAATAAGGAACATAGGTTGACACCGAGGTAAATGAGGTTCACCATTATGACGTAGGTACAACGGGTGTCAGTCAATCCCTTTCTCCTGGGAAACCAATAATGTTTCCTTGAGTATAGCACTCAACGTGATAAACACAGGTGTACTCCGCCGGTATGTGGCTAATTACAACTCGATTGGCAAGACTGCGATGTTCCTCAACGCTAGATGGCAGCAAAGCAGATAAGATGGATACTTATAGATGTTATGCCACTCCATGTGCTTGGTGTTTGTTGCCAGATGGGATATAATATTCTGTGATTTATCATTAGCATAACTATTTTTAAAATTCCAAAAGCGTGAATCGTTCCTTTATAATTTCATATCATTAAAAAAAATGTTTGTATTCTGTAATTCAAACTTTTAGGTCTATTTTAAGGCTGAATTTTGCGTAAGTGATAAGCATAAAAATCATCGATATCAAGCGTAAGTTGGGGATTCATTCAAGTTGAGAAATTTCATTTTCAATCGTCTGCTTTGAGTCTTTGACGATTATAGAGTTATGGTCCTGCATCACAAAAATAGCCCCTGGGAGTAGTATAGGTCATAATGAAACTGTTGTCATATATGCTGAACTATTAGTTTAATCAAGATGGTTTAAATCTCAATTATTGGCAATGTAATCCTTTTTTTAACAAGTGAATATATTAAAAGATTCCCATCAATGGCACATTTACTGATGCTATCAAGCAATGATTCTCGAAATAGGACATCGTTTCACTAATATCTCGAACTTTCCTGTCAAGGTAAACTTGAAATTGATTTCCTTGTGTGCTATATCCCCCTTGTCTCTTGTACCATTGTTTTAATTCTATCATTTCTATGTATATTTGTGCTTGACAAACCTAATCAAATTAAAATTGAATTAAATCCCCATTTAAAATAAAAACCTAACTCTTAATATCAATCTTCATCATAACAAAGGTGAATCTACAGAAGCCATTACCTTTTGAAGTCCACTAGTCACAATGTATAAACAGCTCTCAAATACGACTCCGTCAATCTGAAGAGGTAACACGCGAGAGAGAGTACTTGAATAGGGCATGCAAGGTGTAATTTAAGTGAGCTTGTTCTCTACATTGTTATTGCTTCGTCCTCATGCAGTTGACATTTGGAGTTTGATTTTGATGGATAGGTTGGAGATTGAAAAAAAATACTGTTCGATGTGGAACCTTCAGGTGAACCTTCGTGTTTGTGAGTGAAAAAGGGGTAGTTCAGGTGAAATAGCTTGTAGATTATGGGTGAATACTTTCCATTCTCAGCCTTGTTTCAGGTATAAATTGAATAAACTTGCTCATTTACGCTGTGTTTTTCTTCTTCAGATTTAAATCATACATTTCTACATGGCTAAATTTCACTGTAAAGCAACCATATGTATATATTTTTAGAAAAAAATGAGCATGGAAGCTAACTAAATTCAGCTTGATTTTTCTTTGATGTGAAATACATTTAATTTTCATTGGGAATGATGCTTCTCTGTATTATTAATCATCATTTATTTACCAGGGAGTTGTAAAGTCCTTTATTTCATTTAAAATTAGGCCTATAGGCAAATAATTTTTCTCATTCGACCCATGGACCCATCCATTAATTCGAGAAAAACTTACTATACCTCTTTGTTATTTACACGACAGTATGCGGCCATACAAAACATATTGTAAACCGTTTCTTCAAACAGGTCATCCTTTCATTCATTCACCCTTTATAGATAGAAAGAGAAATAATAGTGAGGTATTTCTTTTCTTCCCTCCATCATTCATTGTCACTTCAACAATCACTTTTATTTCCTTTCATCACTCATTTATAAACCACTTCTTTTCATATGTTGTACCTAAATTCCCTTCTCCTCTTTCTCTCTGTCTCTCTCTGTATCTCTGTCTATATCCTTCTCAGTCTTTCTATCTATCTATCTCAGTCTCTCACCCCCTCTTTCTCTTTCTTTCTCAACAAAACATACCGAATACTGAAAACAACCTCGTCAGACCCAAACCGCCCTGTCTGTAATACTTTACTATACTGAATGTAAAATCATGGCCTCGTTTCAGTGGATAATAAAAAACACATGCTTTACATGAGTTTCTGATTTGAACAGGCAACATTTTGAAGGACAGAAATGGAAGCTATAATCAAAATCCTTGTGGACTCCTAAATGATTGTAGTCCAGGACAAAAGGATAAAAGGAGAGGACGACGAGAACAATTCCGTTCTAAAGGATGCAATCATCATTTTCTGATGAATTCATTTTCATTTACAACCGAACAATAACATAAAGGTGGATTAGCATGAATTTTAATCAGCACCATTCTTGTATATCCCTAGGTTGTTTTCTCTCCCTTTTAAAAATTATTATTATACTTTTTACTATATACTAATAGTAAGTATATTATTGGCTTATTCAGTATCTAAATTAATGAGTTAGTAAAGACATAACATTTCAGAAAAGATAAAGTGAGAGCAAGCAATAGAGAGATAAGAACAACAGGAATAAAGATAGAAAAATAGGTAGAGAGGAAAAAAAGAAAGAGAGGAAGGAGAGAGACAGAGACAGACATACAGGAAAAAGATAGAAAGAGGAAGACGAACAGAGAAAAGGAGAAATAAAAAGGGAGAGGGAGAGAAGAGAGAGAGAGAGAGAAAGAGAGAGAAAGAGAGAGAGAGAGAGAGAAGAGGGAAAAGAGAGAGAGAGAGAGAAGAGGGAAGAGAGAGAGAGAGAAAAGAGAGAGAGAGAGAGAGAGAGAGAAAGAGAGAGGTAGAGAGAGTGAAAGAGAGAGAGAGACACACACACAGAAAGAGAGAGGGAGTAAGAGCAAGAAACACAAGAGCGTGCAAGTACATCATATTTGCTGTAACCCAACCTACATCGTCTCCTAGTCAGGAAATCTATGTCAATAAAAAAAGAACAAATAAAATACGATCTGCGCCGATACACAACACACATCACCACTGGCACAGCCTGTTTGACAAGTATACATTTCATATATTGCATGATCCAGCAGGATTTATTTCATGTACAAAACATATATTAAGAATAAAATAGAAATCTCAGATAACATAGTTATTATGTCATTTTACAGACTTGGTAAAACCACTAAGTAAATTTGTCACATACAGCCAGTTTTGATTTTCAAGTACTGACAAACAAATCTTCTTAGGAAAGACCATTAACATACTCCTCACCTGACCTCCATATTATATGACAACATATGGCATGTATCACAGCTTTATTATATGCATTGCACGTAACAACCAGTTTTCTTTGTAATCTGATGTCATTCATTGAACAAAAATCTTTAATCTTTAAAAGGATCCGGTAACTTTGTCTTAGATGAAGATCCTTTAAAAAAATCCTTGATTTAGCTCATGTTGCAATGATAATTATAAACCTTTAGTGTCAGTCATGAACCGTATGACTTTTACAAGCCGGTCGCCTGTCCGATTATCAAGATATTTATGATTGAAAATCGAAATCAAATTTTGCGTTTGACAAACGGTTTTCATAACACTACAGTCTACTGGGGAGAACGAGTATGGTGAAACCGGTCACTCAAAGGTTTTTACTTTTTTTGAGGCACTTCTTGATCATTTTGAAGCGCAATTTATTTAGGGCTTCAATATAACACCATATCACAGACACTGATAACACGTAGGGCCGTGCATCTCATATTTAACATTGTTAAATGATCCCTTTAAGGCTTTTTGAACTTCTAGACTTTTGTTTATCTATTGTATTGGTCTAAATATCCTTTATTAGAATAGAGGTGTTATGGTCACTGGTCAGGTGGATTAGCCACTGGACTGTGAACCACAAAGATTTGAATCCCTGCCCCAGCACAAACATTCTTTGGCAAGACATCAATCTACATTTGCCCAACAACACCCAGGTGTAGCTAGTGGGTACCTGGTAGGATTAATTCCTTGAATGCACTGAGTGCTATAGGCAGCTACTGGAGCTAAATCCAGGATAATAATATCCGAAGTCCTTAGAAAGTGCAAAGGAAAATTAGATCATAATGCGATTTGCGCTATAAGAAAGGCATATTATTATCATTATCAATATCATTATTCTCAGACCTCATAAAAATCACTATTTTCTATGAGGTATCATTCCCTCATTTATATGAGAAGTCAATAATCAATTGTAAAAAATAAGGATGAACCTTAAAACTGTCAGGTTGAAAGCAAATTTGCTCATACTGGTTTATCATCTTTACTCATTATTTCTCCCTTTGTCACTTGCTTGTTTTTCTTTTTATGTATATATTCTTTTGGATTTTATAATGTAAACTATTTTGTAATATAACTGTAATGTGGAAAAAATAAATATCTCAAAATCGGGATCTTGAATTTTTTAAAAAGTTCTTCCCTTTCTTAAAGGCCAGTTACATCAGCCCATGTACATGAGCAGCTTCTGCTCTTTCACATCACGGGAGGGTTTTGAAAAAGTCACGTTTCTCTCAATGCAAGGATAAGAAGCCTTGGGAAGAGGTCCCAGGTTTGAAACAAAGTCAATACTCTTGTGCCCTTTGGTAAGGCATTAATCCTCATTACAAAGTCCCTCAGAGAGGACATAAAGCCCTCTGTCCCCTGGTTGCTTACTTACAAGCATATACATGCTTTCTTAGCCATCGGTAAAACAATTTTCAACCATCAACAACCTAATGTACATAATAAAAGCTTCTGTTTTTAGATGTTATAGAAGAGTGATGTCTTAGATGATCGTTGGGTACCTTTGAAAGCCAACCAACATAGTAGATGGGAAACATGAAGATCTATTCATGACCGAATTCTTTCTCCTTGAAAGTCAAATTATCATTAACTCTAATGATGAAGCAATTGATGAAGGACAGAAAATTTAATGTTGTATCAAAAATCTTTTCTTCCCAATGGTGTGTTTGTAATCACCTCAAGTACACACAAAGCTTCTCCTTGCTAACGTTGTAGACTGAAGGGTGACGTCTTTGGTCTCAAGGTACCCCTCAAGGCTTAGCCATTGAAAACAAGGATAGGAAACCTGAAGAACCTGTTCAAAATTCCTTCTACTTGGAGGCCAAATAATCCTGATCTCTCACGTAACACCAATGGGAAACAAATTTCGATATTGTCATATATGGACAATGAAACTTGAATCTTGAACACAAAGCCATAGGGAAGGACAGAAAATGCAATCATCCGTTCATAGTTCATTCTTCCTGACTTATCATCGTCTCATGTACATGACCAGCTTCTGCTTGTTGACATTGTAGAAGGGTGATGCCCTGGACCTTCTTGTCCCTCTCAAGGCAAAGCCATAGGGTAGGAGAGCAGGTGTCCTGGGGATCATCTCATGTACATGAACAGCTTCTGCTTGTTGACATTGTAGAACGGTGATGCCTTCGATCTTCTTGTCCCTCTCAAGGCAAAGCCATAGGGTAGGAGAGCAGGTGTCCTGAGGACGCATCCTAAGCCTCCTGGTGTGAAGGCACGGAGACGGACATCCATTCCCTCGTTGGCAGTGACTGCTGTCCATCCTGCATCAATAAACATACAGAGATGGTTTTAGCAGACGGTGAGGGGATCATTTTCATACATCTAAGGTATTTGGGATGAAAGCTGATGACATCATTTTACCTTCACCCAACAATTTACTATGAGTCATAGATACCACTGCAAACAATTCAAGAACGTAAATGCACATACTGCAGAAAATAAAACATAATTTTGTATTGTGTCCTTGTATTCTCTATGAAAATTATATTCTACCATTACCATTCCAAGTGTAATATTATCATTGTGATAATGATGCTGATGATGATGATGATGATGGTGATGATAGTGATGGTGATGATGATGATGATGGTGATGATAATGATGATAGTGATGATGATGATGATGGTGATGATGGTGATGGTGATGATGATGATGATGATGGTGATGATGATGATGATGATGATGATATCGATGATGATGATGATGATGATGATGATGATGATAATGATGGTGATGATGGTGATGGTGATGATGATGATGATGGTGATGATGATGATGATGGTGATGATGGTGATGATGGTGATGATGATGATGATAGTGATGATGATGATGATGATGGTAATGATGGTGAAAATGATGATGATTGTGGTGGTATCGATGATGATGATAATGGTGATGATGATGATTATGATGACGATGATGATGTTGCTAATAACACAAACTAAACAACCTCACTAATTTTGTGCCAGGTCAGGTGAATTATCAAAAAGAATATTCAAAATACAAATATCATTTCATCCTCATGATATCAACAAGACTAACCTGCCGATGAGAAGAGAATGTCAGCTACACTCTCATGTCGTCCAATCCCCTGGAGTGAGAACTCAGTAGGAACCAATGATGGGAAGCTCTGCATACGCTCATGACCTCCTTTCGGAACCTAGTGATATCAAGAGTGGGTGAAAATAAAAATCAAGAATGGAAAAGCTACTTGTTAAGAGGAAAGCTCACTTACAAAATACTAATGGGGACATTTTGTGGTTGTGTAGTTGGGGTATGCCCACTGCCTTTCAAACAGAAGAGGGGAGGCTTGTACTCCCCACCCTCACATCCTATACTGATTCCCTTAAGTGCACAGCATATATCCCATACAAAAGAATATTCCGAGTGCTTTTGAAATCACCATCCTGCTTGTACAGATCATTACAAGAAAAAAAATTCTACCAGATCTTAGCTTTCTAACCTGGAGTGAGAGACTTAACTCAAGTAGGAAAAAAATGACCTACAAACATCGTCAGTCATAACATGAACCATCAGACTGCAGTGAACCTTGTGTGGGTGAAAGGGGCTATTTGTGAATCGTGCAGTAAAAAAGATAATGAAAAAAAAAGAAGTAATATCATGTTAATTCTACACTTTAAGTTAAAGATGCCTGCAACTTGTATAGTCCTGAAATCTAAATAAATCATAGGAACTAATTACGAGCAACCCTATATAACCTGCCCATAATACACCGGTATCTCACCACAAATGTTTTGAAGCCAGCTTTCTCTGCATAAACTGCATCAGCATCCTGTGTGTCTACAACCTTGATTGGTAGAGCGTTGCTGGAGAAGACCGTGAAATAGACTGAATCTTTCCCCTGCAAAAAAATATTAATTTTTGGCAATGTGAGGGAATTTATTTACTGCCATTATTTTTTATGTATCTGATAGACAGGTTTTCTAGATTCCTAATATATTTGAGGGCACGTTGCAAATTCAATCACAATGGCTTTCTATACCCTTCCAGTTCCTCACTTCTTTCCTAGAAATATGATTGGAGTAACCATCAGTATTAGAGCATGGACCATTTGACCAAGAATCTAGTGACATCCAACTAGAACATGATATGTACTGCTTTTAATTATTTTCTTACAACTTACATGATAAACAAATTTCTGGAAAATTAAAAATTAAAACCCTTCAGCCACTGTCCAAGAGTAAAGACATCCCTAGACATACCTTAGGATCACCCATCCAAAGAGAAAATATGCATAAAGTAAAACAGTGCTGGAAAGCTCAGATGAGCTCTAGGAAATGAATTTACAAAAAAAACAACTTTGAAATAGATGATAAAAAATGTAGTAACGCAAATATTTATCTGTAGAAATTCCATCGTTCATTTGTTCGTTAAAAGAATATTAATGTGTACATCATCTAAATAGGAAGATCCTTATTTATGCAACTGATGATATCATCATCGAGCTCTCGAAGTCCAGAAGCACCGTAAGGGGATTTGTAGGTAGGACAAGCATTGATGACGGGATCCATAGTTTGGATCTTTCAACAGGCACAGTTTGGCGATAGATCAGCTCTAATTTTATGCAGGAAATATTGTGGACGGCCAACCCCTAGTTCTGATATGGTTGAGGCTAAACCAGGCTTTTCATTAGAGGTCACTGTCACTTGGTTTTGCACAGGGCTCTGGAATGAACTCCTTCAAGTTGGTAGTAGACAAACTCTACTGGTCTTACCAGCGTTTTGTGTTCCAGGTGGGTAAGGTGGAGGGGGGCTTCTCAAGCGGCAGCTCAGCAGCTGAAATTTCATGCAAAATTAATACAAATAGTGATATCTACACTGCACTCACCTGTAGATAGTCTAACCTTCCCAGACCCCCTAGGAAGAAGGTCTGACCAGGCTTGAGGACTAGAGATCGGGGCAGAACACATCTCTTCGGGACCACCAACTTTAGCTCCTCACTGCTCAGCTTTGTCAATACCTACAATATAAATCAGTTACAGGCAGTAGAAATAAAAGTGAAAAAAAGGAGTCAGTTTCATGATTATTATCATCAAGGCCTTTTTTATCTTTTCTTAAAAATCTTCTAACTGGATTGTGTCGTCTTGAAACTAATGTGTTGTCCTGTACCAATAGTCATAACACAATCATTTATTTAAATAATTAGCAAACATCGCCAGTGCTCTGACAACAAATTTCATCAAAAGTGTTTTGAACACAAGATAAAAAAGACAGCAACATCAACAAACACACAATGCTATTAGCCTCCATAAGAATATAGATAATTAGAGATTTTCATAAGTATAACTTACAGAGTAAAGAAATAGAAAAGAAACACTTTTCTCTTTCAACAAACATAAACAATATTATTTTGCTTGAAGCTTTCCAATACATTGACTCAAGCAACATAATATTAAAGAATTATATATTTCAACCAATTTTGTCAAAAAATGAAATGTGCAAGAATCCAATTAAAGGGATCGTTTAACAATGTTAAATCTGAGATGCACGGCCCTACGTGTTATAAGTGTCTGTGATATGGTGTTATATTGAAGCTCTAAAAAAATTGCGCTTCCAAATGATCAAGAAGTGCCTCAAAAAAGTAAAAACCTTTGAGTGACCGGTTTTACCATACTCGTTTTCCCCATTAGACTGTAGTGTTATGAAAACCATTTGGCAAACGCAAAATTTGATTTCGATTTTCAATCATAAATATCTTGATAATCAGACAGGTGATCAGCTTGTATAAGTCATGGGGTTCCTGACTGACCTAAAGGTTTATAATTATCATTGCAGCATGAGCTAAATCAAGGATTTTTTAAAAAGATCTAAGACAAAGTTACCGGATCCCTTTAAAACTTATGATAGATTTGTTTATCACCTGTTCTTGGTAGATGACACCAGGAGTATCATAGAACCATTCGCTCTCCTGGAACTCCATAGGATTGAATGGCACCGTCTTGTCCTGTTTCTTCCTTGCTACATCTCTTCCACTAAGTGGAACACCTAAGGTCAGGCCAAACGGGTCTCCTCCCTCCTCTGTGAGCCAGGCTTCTTCCTCTTCCTCCTTCTCCTTTGACTTGGGCTTGAATGTCTGCCCAACATCATCTAGGGTTAGAAGCAGGGCTCAAATTAATTTTTTATCCACAGGGGCTCTTCCAAAAAAAAAAAAAAAAAAAAAAAATCACCTGTGCACCTTCTCCCAGGGGCTCTTTTTTCTGATACAAATTTTCATTGAATTGGTACCCATGATACTCCTAATTTTTTTGCTATTTCATCATTTTCATTTATTTAAGTCAGCATTTTTCCTCTTACAGCTTGAAAAGTTACATATGGGTTACTGACTTTCATCCCAAGATGACATTCTCTTCATTTCCTCCCGTTCTGCACATTCCTCCTATCATTCAGAGCAACCTTATTACATTCTTTCTTTAGTCTTTATCATATCCTCCCACAAAATCTTTGGTCTTCCTCTTCTTCTCCATACTGATTTACTGGTCGATAATTCCAAGGAGGCGATTTTTAATTTTGCAATTGCCCCCCCCCCCCAAAAGCAATCTGACGGAGGTGATTATGTAGCTCACGAGGGTGAATCGCCCATTGCCCCATGTATTTTGAGCCTTGGTTTGAAGCATGTGGGACTGTCGTAGAAAAGGCATTTTACGACCTTCATGTTAGTGTTAAACACGTGAACAGAAAAAGCATATCTCACTGTTTGCGCAGAAGGGCATGAATGGATGCATAGACATCATATGTCCTTTTCAAGAATTTAAAAAGTAATCAAAGCAACTCTCAAACATTACCTGGCAAGATGGAAAAATCTTCTGAGACTAAACAATAATTTTGAAGAGAATGGATTCATTCAACAGGACATAATGTTGGAATGAATAATACAATACAGAGTCCTGGCAATGTTTAGGTATCTTATTTAAGTTACTAAATGAGGGGAAAGAGAGAAAGAAAGAAGTGGATGAATGAATGATGAATATTCTTTACAAACCTTCAACATAAGACACGAGAGAAGGGCTCTCTTCTACTTCAAGCTTGCGCCCGACTCTGTTCGTCTCTTCCTCTTTCTTCTTTATCTTCACCTCCTCAGCCTTCTTTTTAAGCCGTACTGTCCTCTGAGCCATTCTCTCCCTGGTGGGGTTAAGGAGAGGGAAGCGAAGGAGGTTGAGTGTGGTCCCAGGCCACTGGGAGATTGTAGCACGACCCATCAACGATGAAGCCTTGGCTTTGCATAGGTCTGACTCCAGAAACCGGTTGAAGAGTGTCGACTTGCCCACGTTTGCTGTGCCTGTTCAAAAATACCATCACATAATTAATGCTGAGCCGACTATATTCATCACATTCTGAGATAACAAAATAAAGCATCATTCATTTCCATGATGTTAGCAAAAAAACAAATGTTGCAACAATTATATACATTTATGATTACATTTTTTTGTTGGTTACTTTTGTTCAAATTGATTTGAAATTGATGAGTGATATTGCAGAAATAATAATAAATGGTAAGCAAGATCCTCCTTCCATGAAAAGAATGGTATGCTGTCATAACAAAGCTAAATTTTTTTTGCCAAATAAATTAAATTTGATATCTTTTATGAAGTGCCCTCATTAGAATAAATTTGTCTGTTGCTATACAATTCCAATAGGAAAAAAAAGATAACATCTGGAGACAAAACATAAAGAACTCATCTGCTTACCAAGAAGATATACATCTCCTTTCTTGGTTTTCAAGGACAGAATTTTAGTGATGAGATTCTCCACTCCATAGCCAGACTTTGCACTGATCAGTTCCACATGCATCACCTTGTCTGCATCGCAAGCTCCCGTCTCCACGCAGGCAGATACCAGGTGGTCTTTCAACCTCCTCTCTTGCTTGGGTTCATCCTTAGGCAAGACATCCAGCTTGTTCCCTACAATCACAATGGATCGACTAGACCCAATGAGGTCTTTGAGATTCTTGATGATACTACAGGGAAAGTCAAGTAGGTCAACCATGAGGATAACAAGCGAACTCTGGTTCTTGCGAATAGCCTTGATGATATTGGAATAGCTGTCTTGGGGGACGCTCACATTCAATGCTGTGTGACGGTGAATAATATAAAAACATCTCTGGCAGACGGAGTTACTGAATGGCTTTGAGAGGTCAAGTTCTGTGAACTTCTCACTTGGTACAAATCCCGGCTGAGTGTTGTCTTGACATTGCAAGTGAGCACCACATCCTGAGCAAGGTACCTCACTCACTGGGATACTACTGTCTTCGCTTCCGAATATCTTCATATCCTTAGATCTTCTGGGTTTCTGGCTCTTGTTGCGTTTTTTCTTGACAGCTTTCAGAGCGGACACAACACTCTCCTCTAGATCCTCTAGGTTATGGTCGGCCACCCTCAGCTCATCCTTCTTCTCCTTCCACAGCCTGTTGGCGACAAGCTTCCCCCTCAAATCAGGAGGGATGCTGTCCAGGAGGGATTCATCTACTGTTGAGTCGGTGATGAGGTGCACCTCTCTATGATCTGCAAAATCATTCTTGGAAACTTCTTGATACTGTGCAGGCCTATCATGTGCTTCAAATGATTTCCCCTTCAAGTTTTTCACCTTTCCTTCTCCTTCCCACTTCTGGATTTGTTTGCGATTTGATAAATGTTGTCTGTACATTTCTTCTTCCGACAGAGAAGTATCCATATACCGTTTTGCAGGCACTGTGGTTTCAGACGAGGACTTAGTTGATACATTACCTTCTGGATTGAGATTTTCTTTACCAAAATACTGTTTATCGAATTCATTGATGTCCAATTCAGTTGGGTCACTGGATGTAATTCCATCGGTATTCCTATAAACAAAACTAGAATTGATATCATCAAAATATTTCAAGTCAATTTCTTCAAACATAAAATTTCCTGTGATACTACTTCCAGGCTTGGTTGCAGCTGACTTCTTTAAGGTTCTAGCTTTAAAGTTTCTCGGGGGACCGACATCCTTCTGTCCGAATTCTTGAAAATACTGGGAGTCAAATTCATTGAGGTCCTCTCCAGCTGTTACCTTAGAGACAGAATCACTGCTTTGTACCCTTTGTAAATCATCCTCTGAAAGTCGACGATCCAGGATACCACTGAAATACTGACTATCAAAGTCATGTTCCACATGATGACTAGTCTGTTCTTGCTGATTACTTGCTGCAGGACCACTTGTTGCCGCTGATGTTGTGGTTGAAGGTCTCTGTCCTGGAGAAAGGTCATCTCTGATCCTGCTCAGCTGACCTCTCTTGCTTCCCCTACCACTTCCATGTTTATTCCTGGTGGGTGTGAGTTTGATTGTTCCAGCTTGATTTCCTTGAAGAAAATATTCTGTAAATATATAAATTCCAATATATAGTTATTAAGTATAGACAGAGTAACTGATCTGTAAAACATGACAGACTATTCAGATCTACTGGAAAGTAGCCCACAATACAAAAATTAAATATAATTGTCAAATTTTCAATAAAAATAAAAAATTGAGTAGATCTTCAATGATGAATTGCATAATGATTAAGGCACCAATTATTGATGTAAACTAGACCAAAAGCTTCAGTCTCTGATATCGGCAGAGTCTGAACTTCTTAAGGGTGTGCAAGGAGGGTAAGTTATGCAATGCAGTCTGTGTGTGATTGCTGATCTCATCGCACGCAGTAGATTCAAGAAAACGAATGGATTAGCTGAAAGTAAGTTTTTGATGTTTTACAAAATACAATGACTTTCGCTGTTTTTTTTTTATAGTAAATGAAAATTGTTAAATCAAACGGTTAGGTCTACATAAAGAAAAACAGAGCAAACTTTACGCCCACTTTTGGCGAAATTGCTAGTTTGATCCCCCTTGTAAGTTCGTGCGGCAAGGTTAACAAATTCAGTTTCATTATAGAATTCCCTTGTATCCCATACCTTGCGTGGAAAGGGAGGTAAACAAAACCTAAAATGAGTTCATAACCACCCCTTCCCGCACCCAACGAACATTGCACACCTTCTTCAGAGTACGCTTCTGGACTCTTCTTTATTCTCGTAAGTTACACAAAGCACTTTGAATCGTTCAAAAATTCAACCAAAAATATGACTTAGATCTAGATCTAGGTCTATGAGATTGTCTTTGAATTTGATGCCCGATTTGAACGATTTCCTTACCTTCCCCTGTCATCCACATGTTTCTGACGATAATGAGCTAACAGTAACATGCGAATTACATTATAAAAAGACTGACCTCTTATGAGAGTTTGCAATGTTGGTTCCGCCTGGAAATGCAATTACACGCACTGTCCAAAAAAAAAAAAAATGTATTTGCATTGCCAAATTGAAAATTACTTTATTGATAAATTACGATGATAGCGATTTAGTGACTGTAGATCTAACTAAAAATAGGGTGTCTGAACGATTTTTCAATTTTCAATTTGGGATCGTTTTTCACCATTTTTGTTTGATATTTGAATAAAAGATGTTATCAGAATAATACATTTCAAATTTCAAGTCTCACCGATGTTTCTATCAAAAGTTACAGCCCCTTCAAAACGCTGGTATATTCATATCATTTTGGTCAAAATCGACGAAAAAGACGTCTACGCAGAGTGATGTTGTTTTGCTAAATTTAGCCAAACAGCTGTATCGCGCGATATGCAAGCGTATGCATATCGTACGCATGCTGCTAAGCCAATCCGCGACTTGCAGCTTGAGCTACGCTGTCTCCGCGACATGTGCCATTGACTAGTATGGTTGGCGTTCGTCGCACAATAAACCCGGAAGTGAATGCACGTTATAGTCAATGGCAATATCGCGGAGATCCGCGATATTGCCATTGACTATAACGTGTATTCACTTCCGGGTTCTATGCCGCGAATGGCCACCCATACTTGAATTTGGGGTTTCGTTCGTGCGCGGAGATGTTACGCGATGTAACCATGGTTTGGACTGAGCGGAGCGCACGCCCCCTAATTAGCTGATCCACCAAATAGCGAGAAGGGTATTTTCAAACTGTTATCAGTTGTGATCCCTGGGGGCTAGCGAAAATATAAGCACATAGAATTGTTCCTTAGGACTGGGACTACTTATCGATCGGGGCGTCATATCTCAAAAGTGACAAACCTCAGAGTTAGCCAGGACACAATGTTTCAATTGCTGTTTTGACCAAGATATTTTTAGAATTTCGGGGGCTACGCCCCTTTAGAAATATTGGAATTTACCTGCTCTTTCATATGACACCTCATTTATTGATTATCACCTTCAGGATCACAACAGATAAAGGTTTGAATCTCGAATTGAAAAAAAAAAATTGACTTTTTTTGCATGGTCGCGCAATGCACGTAGACTGCATAGGGATGCGTGTAATCTCTATGGGATGAATTTTAGCACACAACATCGGGTGCGCGATCAGACACCCTACTAAAAAGGGGTGCAATCAGGGAGTTTGCTATATAACGTGTGTGCCTTTTACCTATAGCTCTCGGTCTAGGTGTGTATTTAAACGTCACCTCCAGATCCAGCTCAGCGGCAGAAGCCCGGGGCCGAGCAACTCAGGCACCGGAGCACGAGAGTCGGCCCTGTCACGAAGGCGTTAGCCTGGCCTGGCTGAAGCTGAGCCTCCGGTTGGGGCAAGAGCATGGCCATACCAAGGCACGGGCACCCAGGATCAAGTACAGCACAAATTGATTTAGTTTTTGAAACAAATATTAGCGATTAAGATCTTACCTCGTAATTCCGGAAGAAAACATAGTTTGCTGTTGATCTTATGACGGACAAATGGAACACCCAAAACTCGTAGGAATCGACAATTCAGCATATTATTAGCCATATTAAACTCTTAAAATCTCCTTTCTTACGCTTATGAAACCCATATTTTGGTATGGTGTGGTGTCTTCAACGATGCTGAGAAAAAAGGAAAAACACAACAACAACAAGGTTCCATGACACTAGACCGAAAGCTTCAGTCTCTATAATCGTCGGTTGTTCCACTGAGACTACGTCTGGCTCCACTAGACCTCCGGTTATAGAGACTGAACGACTGCCTATGCCAGCCTGTGTTGAACTTATTCCGCTAGATTTTAGCCGCTAGGCCCCTCCCACAAACTTGCCACGGCCGTATTGTTATGCCCCCAAATCCCCCAAAATGTCATGTTACCTCGTCCATATCCAATTTTAAATTAGGCCTAGGCTATAATACATCGGTTCCACTTACTAATTTGATGTAAATAATCCGTTTAATGGTCCCTTTTAAGGAAATTATGGGTCAAAATCGACATCCATGTTGAAAATCTTGCAAGCCGTCCGTTAAACTCTCGCTGCCGTCAATCTCATCCCTTCTAGTCTACGCCGAAGGCAAAATGATAATGAAGGAAAAACTGTGCGCCATCTACACGTTCGTAATGGCGTTATCACAGTTTTTTCCTTCATAATCATTTTGCCTTCGGCGTAGACTAGAAGGGATGAGATTGACGGCAACGAGAGTTTAACACGGCTTGCAAGATTTTCAACATGGATGTCGATTTTGACCCATAATTTCCTTAAAAGGGACCATTAAACGGATTATTTACATCAAATTAGTAAGTGGAACCGATGTATTATAGCCTAGGCCTAATTTAAAATTGGATATGGACGAGGTAAAATGACATTTTGGGGGATTTTGGGGGCATAACAATACGGCCGTGGCAAGTTTGTGGGAGGGGCCTAGCGGCTAAAATCTAGCGGAATAAGTTCAACACAGGCTGGCATAGGCAGTCGTTCTGTCTCTATAACCGGAGGTCTAGTGGAGCCAGTGGAACAACCGACGGTATAGAGACTGAAGCTTTCGGTCTACCATGACACATGCTCCGCCGACGATTGCTCCGCCGACATTTACTCCGCAAAACGCGACAATTGCTCCGCCGACAGTTGCTCCGCCGACATTTGCTCCGCCGACATTTGCTCCGCCGACAATTGCTCCGCCGACATTTGCTCCGCCGACAATTGCTCCGCAAAACGCGACAATTGCTTCGGTGACAAATGCTCCTCGAACGACAGTTGCTCCGCAGACAATTGCTCCGCAAAACGCGACAATTGCTCCGGTGACATTTGCTCTGCCGACAATTGCTCCGCCGACAATTGCTCCGCCGACATTTGCTCCGCTAAAAAATTGCCCCGCGAAAGACAATGCTCCGCCGACAATTAAACTGCTCTCTGATCCAAAAGTGCGGCCTCGTGGAAGACATGAATGCTCCTCTGGCAATTAGTGCAATAAAGGCTCAACCGTTTTTTGCTATTCCCCATAATGTTTGATTAAAAAAAACATCAAGTTTTAGCTCCTAGCTTATGCAAGTTCTCCGGCGAAAGATAATTACTCCGCTCAAAATTTGTTTCATTTATTACTCATTAGCCGATCCAAAAGCTCAAGGCTATCTCTCTCTCTCTCTCTCTCTCTCTTGCTCTTCCTTTTCCTTTTTACATCTTCTTAGCTCTTTTCTTTCCTCTCGTGCTAGTCTTCTTTCATTTTCATCACTTCTTCTTTTCTTCCCCTCTCGAGTTCTAGTTCTCTCGTGAAATTGTAACGTAATGTAGTACATGTAGGAGTACATTCTTGTTTAGAATAGTATTTTCAATAATATCCAGTCCGTTTTCTATAGGTTTCTTTCCTTCAGTTAAGTGTATGTAGCTTTACTATATATATATTAGTGTGTAAAACACCCCCTCTCATTCGAGTACTTTGTTTTCACTGACTTTAAGGGACTCACGGAACCACCGAAAGAAGAGCAATTGGCTTATCGTGAAGAACTGACATCAAACTGCAACAAAATGATTTGTATAAATGGGAATAAGCAGAAAGGCTGCCATCTAATTTTCCCGTCTGAAAGGGTTCTCTTCTTTACGTATAAGTGCCCTTCAAAGCTTATTTTGATCCTTCCCCTGTTGCTTTCTAGAACTTCCACGATGACCTAATACATTGTATCACGGGCGTCGCTAGACCTTGCTTAGTGGGGGGGGGGGGGGGGGGGGGGGGGGGGCGGGTGGTGTAGAGGCCAACGATTACCGACAAAACTAGCCACCAATTACCGACAAAATTAAGTGTCTCAATATCTACAAATAACCCTATAAACCCGGGGCCGAAGGCTAAATTGTTTTTCCTATGGACTATCTATAGTACTTGCGTATGCGCAAATGATCAATTTCCTCGACGACATAAATATACGAATTATTTTGTCAACTTAGTCAACATCATAGCTATATATTTTAATGCAGGCGCGGAGCTAGGATCTTATTTTAGGGAGTTAACTTAGTTAGCTTAGACGTTTCCCTAAATTATTAGGAAAAGAAGACGATTTATTGTACCGTTCTCGACCCGTCTAAATGAAGTTTTCCCCTCCCGCGCGAAGCGCGGAAATTTTGGCGTTTCATCAAAATATAGAGAAAGGAAGACGATTCGTCGTATCGTTGTTGACTCTTAATCCTTGTTTGAATTTAGTTTCCCTGAAAATTTTAAATCTTTGATTTCTTTAGCTGATATTATAGGAAAGTGAAACTTCGAGAAAATACAAGTATTGTAGTTGTAGTCACTCTCGAAGTCGTCACAGCGGATACAAAGTCACAGTTCGTAGGAAAAACATCTCACCGACTTCAAACTTCTGCATTGATATAGTACACGAGGATCGAGCAAAAATACCGACACAGCTGACCCGACACAGCAACATATTTACCCGTGTCTTTTTTGCTTCCTTGACAAGACGACTCCACCCAACGACCCCCCTTTCTTTTACCCCCACTCCTGCTTTCTCAGGCTCTTACCTTCCCCCTCCTCTCTTTCACACCCCCGTTTCTTTTTGTTTCCCTTTTCTCTTTTTCCTTTTTTTCCTTTTCTTTCTTTTCTTTCTTTTCTTTCTTTTCCTTTCTTTCCTCTCCTCCCTCTTTTTTTTCTCTTTTCTTTCTTCTCTTTTCTTTCCTTTCGTTTCCTTTCTTTCCTTTCTTTTCCTTACTTTCTTTCTTTTTCTTTTCTTTTTTCTTTTCTTTCCTTGCCCTTTCTTTTTCCCCTCTCCCTTTTCTCTTTTTCCCGACGGCAGCGCAATTTTACCGATAATATCCTGAGAGGTGGGGGGGGGGGGGGGTGGTGTCGCACCCCCACACCCCCCCTTTGGCGACGCCCCTGTAATGCTTTACTTGCAGATGGTTTACCTAGTAAGATGCATGTGCTTGCTTGCATTGAGGTCATTTCAGGTCTTACATATTGATGAGCTAACTAGGAGGTATGCGCGTATTGGGGAATGTGGCTTGCTGCTCTACTTAAAAAAAAAAAAACTTCCCACGACATGGAAGAATGAGTGTTCAGTATACATCATAGGGGACGTACAGTGATAGATGGAAAGTTATTTCAGTATATTCGAAATGACTTCGAGGTAACTCCTTTTTACTCCCACATCCTTATCCTTTATTCTTTTTCTTGCGTTTAGAAACATTGTATGAAGCGCATTATAAATGTAATGTATTATCAGGTGGGCTGTATATAATACAGATCACCTTATGTTTTCGTTAGAATATTTTTCTTATTTCTAACCACTTTATTGTTAGCACGATAACTTGAAAATGGCTCAATCAAATGCCTTGAAATTTGACACACATATGTATAGGCATGAGGAAAGAGCACAATAAGGTTTTCAACCTTGACCTTGATTGATAACGTCATCCAGGCGCAATGTTGTGAAAATCAAAATATGATCATATCTTCATAACGAAAAGACATTTCTCATTCATATTTACCAGGATCAAGGTCAATATCAGTCCGGTCAATTTTACGTCAAAAAACGCGAGCGTACGCCATTATTAGCAAAAGCATTTCATAAAGAATCGCGCGCGCGTTTTCGTTTGTCACGGCCGAACGCAAAATAATTCATCCTAGATTCTTTTTTGACACAGTAATCCTCATGTCTTCCCAAACAATTTAATACCATGTTTATCTCTTTATGACCATTAATAAGGGAATGAGCGTCCGTTCAAGATAAACGTCCATGCGCGCGTGCTCATGTAATACATAGCATATATGGGCAACAACATGCCTACACAAAACCCTTTGACTGTTTGGGATGGACGGGAACCCTAATTTTTTTTTCATATTCGGATAGAGTATGAGTCGGAGATGTGATTCCATGTCTCATTTGGCCATTAAGTATATCGTGTCATCATCATATCGACCTTGGAACTCAAAATACGAATTTGCATATTATGACGTCAGCATATTTATGGAAAATTGATTGTATCTCTGTAAATATTGATTGATTCTCTTCTTAATGTTGATATCTCGTAGTAGAGGCAATTGTTTACAAGTTAACTGCGTATTATTTTTCATTTTGATGACATCATCATAGTGAAAATTGCGATTAAAGGTAACTTGACAGATTTTCTTAATTTGCGTGTTAAGCCTTTGGAAGGTGCCAATTTAGTTCAAATCATGGATCTACATGACATTAATCTTTGAGCACTATCTAAATTATTTGTGTTCTATGTTCTCCTAAATTTTGGTATGTTATAGCTGAGACTATGGGCTATAAAAGTTGTGTCTTTTGTTTTTTGATCAGATGGTGGAATCATGTCGAAATTTTCAATTGAAAGTTAAATTCGCAAATTTTGTAGAACATTGTAGGAATTATGCATAGGTCACGTTTGTCCTATTTGTGAAATATAAACGTTAGCAGTTTTCTTAGTATTCAAATTAAACAAGGAAACCCCTTTACTTTCTATACTTTACTGTCAGACACTATTGAGTGACTGACCAATATTTTTTCCTCTGGTAATAAAATACATTATATGAGCTTAAAGGGTACATGAGCATTTGTCCACATCAATAACCCACTTCTTGTAATGGCCCAAAATAATCCAATTGAATCTATGCGCAGCACAATCTAGGTAAACATGACGGGTAGAGCATTTCATGGAAGAAGATGAAATTG